ATTTCAAAGTCCCTGCCTGTTTGCAGCATCTGAGGGATCCCTGAGTTGGTCTATCTCTTTACAATAGGCTTTCTGTTAACTTTTGTGCACCAGCTATTATGAACAAAATAGAATGAAATACTTGCAAGTGAGCTACCACATGTATAGAGGAGTGGGGTGGTGAGTCAATCTAGTCAGATGCTGAATTGGCTCGTGGCTTTTTGATGCTGCTGGTACTTTAATTGCTTCCAGTTTTTCCCATGGGTCTGCCTTTTGTGCCTATGGTGCCAGAGGGTTTTTTTCCTCTTCGTTCCCATCCATCTCAACTGGTCCTCTATACTTGTGTGAGAAGGTTTCTCCATGCTCCAGCCCTCTGTAGCAGTAGACAGGTGTGCTAGTTACCAGTGCTCAGCTTATGGTTGGGGGCAGAGGGCTCCTCTCTTCTCCTTGCCCAGCCTTGCTCTCATGCTGTTACTGTGTCTGGGCCTCTGAGGTGGCATTTCCTGAACAATTCTGCCCACCATCCTCATGCCAGCTGTACTCCATGTGGCCTTGACATTAAAGAATATCTTGCCTCTGTCCCCAGCAGTAGCAGCACACCTGTCGGTAGAGGAATAAGAAAGGGGGAAGACTAGGGTTTTCCTGCTGTTCTCCCCCACAGAAGCTGAGGGTTTTGCCTTCAGAGGCAATAGAGGAGAAAACATACTTTGCTCCTTACAAGGGCAAAAGAGGTGTTACTTCCCTCCCTTCTGCAGATGCTCTCTGGGTCTTTTGCAGACCTTGGTGGAAAGAGTTTTCCATGCATCTTCTCTTGCTGTTTCTAAGAATCCAGGGAATGTAGAAGTCTGTGCCTTGCCTCCAGCAGCCAGTCCTATCCTGCGAGGTACTCTGGTCTCTGTCGGTTGTCTTCATGCACAGCCAGTGGGGACTGTTGGCAAAGGGCTTGAGTGTGAACTTGTGTTTTGAGCCCCTGATGATTCCAAAATTTAGCCACAGTCTACCTTTAAGAATTCTATCACTTCTTCCCTGACTACTACTTAGCTACCTCTATGGTTGCCTCTCTTCCTCCTGTGCCGTGCTGTGTCCATCTTCTCAGAAGGGCTTAGCACTCTTTAGAACTTAATTCACTTGGTTGCCTTTCAACCTCAGTGCTGAGGACTCAAAAGATAGAACCATGCAGATTATCCCTTAGGGGAGAATGTTCTCTTTCTACATATTTTCGGTTCCTTCTAAACAGAAGCCATACCTCACTCTAAAACATTCTTTGACTATGAGTTTCTTTTTGATCTATGGATTACTTTGTTATGGGACTCTCAGTTCCAAAATATAGGATGACTTTTTAATTGTATTTCTAGCCTATTTGCATTTACTCAGGGCTCGCTTTGTGTGACTTGCCTCCTGAAGTTTTATTTGTATCTGACCTTCTTTTGACAAAAGCTCCACATTGACTTGAATGGAACGTGGTGTGCATTTACTGTGTGTAGTTTCCTATTTGTCCAAGTTTATTCATTATGGTCTTCAAATCTTCAATATCTATGTCAGGAAGGTATATTTGTGTCCCAGTATACTTAAGAATTTTTCACCTTAAACTTCACAGTTTGGTTTGTATATCTTGATCAAGATAATACATGTCTCCAAACTAAACATTGTCACTTTGAGGGGACCATCCCTAATTTCTTGCCTCTATATTTCATCTAACATGTTAATACAGCTATACTAGCTTTTTGTTTTGATTTTTCAACTTGTCATGTTTTAGACATCTTAGATGACTAGATTTTCGAAGCCTGACAGTATCTTAACTAAAGCATTTAGCCCTTTGAAGTTGTTACTGATTCTTGGGTTTAAGACTTATTAATTCCATATGGTCTGCCTTTTCTTCCCCTGCTTGCCTCCTTTGATTACATTTTTGTCCCATTCTCTTCTGTTAATGGGTTTGAATATTCCAGGAGCAAATAAAGAAAACACGAGTGGTATCGATACCTTAGTGCTCTAGCTAAATCTAACATTTAAAGTTTATCTCTTAAGGTTATATCAAGATTATCTCTAGCCTGCGGGAGTCTCTGCAAGTAGACGAGATTCTGGAATCTGATTATTGACTCACCAGCTAGCTATGGCAGCAAGACCACAGTGGCAGATGTCAAATGGAGTAATAACTGCCAGTATACTATCATTCTTGAATTTTGGTACATATCAGAATCACCTGAGGAACTTGGAAAACATAGAAGTCAGACACTGTTGCTTCATCTAGCCTGGGCCTCTGCTTCACTGGCATACCAAGTGACTGCTCGAAGTTTGAGAAGTTCTGTATTAAAGCATCGTGATAGAGATTTCTCCCCTGTGGAGAATGAGGATGACAAATGCAAGAGGATGTATAATTTCTCTAGCATTTGGGAGAGAAGCAGTAGAATCAGAACTGAGAAGTTGGTTGACTGCCAGACTAGCGCTAAAGAGAACATGGAAGCCCAGACTAGCTACTTAAAAGCTATGATACCATTTAAAGGAATTCTCATCTCCTGCAGCCAAAGTGCAGTTGGTGCTGAAAGTCGAGCCTACCGTATGACTAGAAAAATAGAGGCACAAGGAATACCAAGTTCTCGTACCTGGCAAGTCTCCTCATGTCAGGATCTGATGAGAAAGGAGTAGAACGATACATCTGGGTAGATAGACTCTCAGGCGTCCCCAAACTACGGCCCGCAGGCCGCATGCGGCCCCCTGAGGCCATTTATCCGGCCCCACGCTGCACTTCTGGAAGGGGCACCTCTTTCATTGGTGGTCAGTGAGAGGAGCACAGTATGTGGCGGCCCTCCAACGGTCTGAGGGACAGTGAACTGGCCCCCTGTGTAAAATGTCTGGGAACGCCTGCTAGATCCTTGAGTCCCCCAGACTTCACCGTTCATCACCCCTTAAAAATACTGAGGCCTCGGCTCGCAGCCCCGCCTCCTCCGCTACATGCAGAACATGGCGCAGGGACAGCGCAAGTTCCCGGCCACACAACCCAGCAAAGAGCAAGACTGCAGCCGCAGCCTCTGAAAAGAATCGGGCCGAGGAAAGGCGGCTGTGTTATCACTCCCAAGAAGGCGCGCGTCCTGCAGCAGCAGAAGCTCAAGAAGAACCTAGAAGTCCGGATCCCGAAGAAGATAGAACATGATATGATGATGAAAGCCAGCAGCAGCCTGCCCAAGAAGCTGGCAGTGCTGAAGGCCCCAGCCAAGAAGAACAGGGCAGCTGCTGCCACCTCCTCCAACCAGGCGCCTTCCTGAGGACTCGGGCCCAGCTCAGGCCAACACCCCACCCCCCACCTCCGTGACGGGACATTGCAGTGATCCCACAAGCTGCAGTCTCAGGAAGAGGACCCTGTCCCCCAGCTCTGGGCCTCGCCTAGAACTTCAGTGGGGGCCTGGCCCATGGGCAGGTGATCAGCAGATCTTAGCGTACTGAGAAGTGTCCCCATGCCCCTTCCCAGATCCTGCCTCCACAGGTTTAACCCAGAGTAAGAAACTTTGGGTTTATTAATAAACTTTTTTTGTCAAAAAAAAAAAAATACAGAGGCCTCAGCTGAGATACATGCATTAACCTCTTGAGCTATGTCTTTCTGGCTTCTAGGACAGTTGTGGCAAGTCACAATGTGACCCAACTGGGGCAATCTTCCTGCTATAGGAGGGGAAGGGATTAACTCACAAACAGATCTATGGGATCTGGCTATTCTGAGTAGGAAGAGAGACCTAGGAGTGAGTCTTGAGGATGCTGGAGCAGGGAAGTCAGAATATAAGGCTTAGACAACAGAATATTTTTCCATAGGGACTCTCATGGGACTAACGAATGGTCTAGAGAGGATACGTGGAACCAGTCCTAAAATGTTGCCAGTATGGGAAATCTTGGGGTTTTGAGGAAAATAATGGCCTATAGTAGCAGTTTTGAAGAACTATTTACATAATCAAATTCTGGAAGATTCAAAAACCTCATCCCAAAGCTTCATACAACCTCTCCTTCAAGAAACCAGTCTCTGGAGGTAGGGTACAAGCATCCATTTTAGAATTCCCCAGGTGATTCTAGTGTACAGCCATGTTAGACAACCACTGGTAACAAATGAGGAAGAGATGCCGGCTCTACCTTGTTATATGTTCAAAAAATTGGTCTGTAGGCCATAGTTGATAAGGGTAGGGAGAGAGAAAGGGGCTCAAATGTAAACCTGGTAAAAGAAATAAAGTTCCAGAAAAGCCTAGATAATCTCAGGGAGGCCCAAGGGTTCACTTTATTCCATAAGAGTACTAGTGACGTCACCAGCCTCATTGAAGCTAGTGGTGGCTTTTTTCTGTAGGCCCAGGTTGGTAAGGAAGGTTTCTATATAAATCCACAAGGCCAGAATGACCATTAGAAGTCCTAATTCACGGGGCTACTGGGCCACTGAAAATAGTGTTAAAAAAAAATTGGGGATAGTGGTTAGCCCAAAACGTGTTGCATGAGTTACCTAACCAGAAGAGACTAGTGAAGACTTGTCAACTGACCAGATGGAAAGCCACTATTTCTTGACCAATGGTCAAACCTGAGCCAGTAACTGGCTAAGTCTACTTGAGAAAGGACCCACAATACCATATCACGTAATATCACAGTGATTTCTCCATGTTCTTCAAAGGAATTTATGGTCATTTGAGGAACTATGCCCCTAGGGAAAGGTAAATACTCAGGTCTTTCAGAAGTTGCTAGATGCAGGGTTGGATATGTTACTGATAAGAAGGGCCCAGACCCTCTCATGATGTTCCTTCTAGAGTGTGTGGGGTCAGAGTTCTCTCCCAAGCAGGTCTTGGAATCCATCCTGAGTCTCTACATCTACTTCATGGTCATTCCATTGGCTGAATGCCTGGATGGGCTGGGCTCACTTGGACATTAGGTCAGGAGTAAATGAGATCTTTGCTAAGAGTAGAATAAGGATTCCTAAGGCAAGAAATACCAAGGAGAAACCCATGAAATTATCTTGCTGAAGACAGGAAACCAAGGCAGCTGCTATATCTGGGTAGAATGGTAGAGATAGTTTTCAAAGTCATAAAGGATGCAGAAGCTCCCTGTTAGTTATATCCCCTTTAGTAATATCCCTTTCAGTGTACCTGTATGGTACCTGCAAAAATCAGACGGACTCATGGTGGTGAATGATGAAGGACAATAATAGGCAAAAAAGGATCACAGAAACTGCCTTGTCACTGTGTAGGTCAGAGGCTGCCAGTCTGATAGACCTGAAGATGGCCTCCTGTCCACAGCTGATGCATCAACTTTGCCTTGGATAAATGGCCGCCTTGAAATTGCTGTGTATTTTGAATAGCCATCATTTGCTGTAACCAGTACATAGAATACAAGTATTGTTCTCGCCAAGGGTACAAGATGGGAGTGGCTTTCCTTGGCATCTATTTAAGAGACCCACTCGAGGAATTTGTGCTTTTCTTCAGTCAGTTCAGGTTCCTGGCAGAGAGGTTCCTCCCAAGGGTCTCAGGTCCCACTTAATACTGGCAGGTCATTTTGGATAAACAAAGAAAATAACTATAAATGACTGAGGTAAAGGTTTTGCTACGGAATGTGTCTAGGCAGTGGCTTGTCTGGGATTCACTAGGTGTGTCCTGGTATTCTCACATTTGGCCTCCCAAAAAAAGCTGTAGCCAGTCTGGTGCTTTTAACTGGGGTCTCAGACTTCTTGAAGTAATGTCTGGGTTTCCCCTCCAGGCAAACCAAGCTAGACCATATGAATGAGGGCTGAGGTGACAAATGTGGAATGCATGGTGCGGGAGGTGGGGACACAGTATTGGTGATCTGTTGTACATTGGGTTCTCCTAAAAGTGCCAGTGTAGTTTGGCATATGAGGTTGAAGGATCCATACCTGTGAAAGGAACAAGGAGAAAGCAGATTAGGCAGATGAAGAAGTGAACACTGGAGCAGGCCAAAGCCTGAACCAACACAATAAGGGGATGGGTAGTGTGAGTGTTGTCCATCAGGGTCCTCATACTTGGCCAGAAGGACCAGGCCCACATTTCTCCCCCTCACTGGGTTACAGGATGTAGGTTGCCTCAGGAAGAACATCTAGAACAAGGAGACTCTAAGAAATGCAGACCCTGAAGGAGATGGTGACCTTGTAGATTTCAATCCCAGACTGGCTGGCAAGCAGAAGCATTGACTTTGGTTCTGGGTGTGACATGGCTGAGCAGAGGGGAGCTAAAGCTACAGGAAGTGTGAGGGCACATAGACCAGGGGCAGCAGCCTTGGTGACATTGTTATACTTGCCCATGGCTCACCTTCCAGCTTGCTGTCCCATGGCCACCAAGAGGATCCAGCTCTTGCTATCCATTCTTCTACTTAGTTTTGATGTCTCCAAGCAGATCTCGTCAGGGATTGTTCCCTGTTGAGGGTGAGTTCAGTTACCCAGACCTGAAGGAGAAACAATGCTTGGTTCTTTCTCCAGGTTATCCCACTCTTAGAAAAACGATGGTCTCCTATCGCTGTCTCATCATCTGGTAGTGATGGTCCCATTCCTACCTAAGCATGGATTCACCCCATGGTCCTGTATTATCAGAATCCTTGGGCATGATTATATGAAGCAATCCTGATCAAAGGGGATGGAAAGACTGGGACGTGACCTGGATGGCTTGACTAGATGAACTAAGGAGCGAATAACTTTGTTTTCCTGGATGACCCTCTGGTTGCTCCTTCCTCCAAAACAAAAAGCACAGGGAAAGAGGCGGCACCATCCTCACTGAAGCTGATATGTGTCTCCATATGCCAGGATAGATAAGGGAGGTTGTTACAGAACTGGGCTCTCTGGTATCCATGGGAATGAGAGAATGCAGAAATAGCAAAGGTCAGGCAACAGCACTCAACCATCAGAGAACATGGACTTCATTACCATGAGTTGCAAAACCAAGAACAGCAGAAGCCCTGATTCACAGGGCTGTGGATCACCACAGTGTATCTAGTGGAAAGAGATGGGTGACTGATGAAGGTATTTGCTTGACTTACATAACCAGAGGTGCAGAGTCGGTTAGTAGAAGACTGACACCAACTGCTCCAAAGGAATGTCACCATCCCTTGCTCAATATTCACTTCAATACTGGCTAATTCTTAAAAGACACTACAATACCACAACAAGCACATGTAGTACCCATGTATACACTTCCCTGAAGGTATCTATGGTCACTTATGAGGAAGCAGACCATGAGGAAAGGAGAACAATAAGCTCTTTCAGGAGTTGGTGGATGCATGGTTGGACTTACTGACATGAAAGGATTAAGACCTTCCTCATAGAGTAAGGGTATATGGCTCAATTAAAGTCTTCACCCAAGCTAGTCTTAGTCCAGTGAGCCTCTGCATCTACTCTGAACAGTGCACTGGTCTCTGAATGCCTGAAATGGATGGACCTACTTAGCAAAGCCCTTTTGCTTCCTGTTCAGAAGACTAAGGGTTATAATGGTGGCAAAGACAATAAAACTGCTCTAGGGTCAAGGTTAGTAAATCAGAAGTAATATCACAACTGGGTTGAATGATAGAGATTAATGTTCCTTAATAGTCTCAAAGGATGCAGAAATAGTGGTCCCAATCAATCATATCCCTGTTCAGTTTACCTATACAGCTCCTGCAAAAATAAGATGGGCTCGTTGCAGAAGATGGAATAGAACAATGAACAATAAATGATTAGATTACTATGGTATACTGGAGAGCTCAGAGGCAGCTGGCATGACAACCTCTTGTCCAAAGTTGATGCATTAGCTCTAGTGCCTTTGATAACAGCTGTCTTGAAAAAAGCATATATAACTTGAACCAATATGCATTAATTGCTGTGAAAAATAGGTACAATAAAAGGGTGTTCTATGGTTAAGGTGCTATAAACAGGAGGGGCTACTCTGAAACATGCGCTTCACCTTGCTACAGCTTTATGCTCTAGACTAGACAGTGTTACTGGAGAGAGACAAACTTTCCTACCATGGGAGACAAGCTCTACACCAAACTCAGCTATGTGTGCTGCAAGGTCATTTTGGACCAACAGGTAAAAAGATAGATCATGAGGGCAAGGGCAGCTGCTCCAAATGCAGCCAGGAATGACTTTCGTGGGATTCACTGGACATCCCTTGTTGATCCCGTGACTAGAAACAACCAGGAATGTCAGTAACCATGGCCTGATAACCACTTTGTAACCAGGGACTCAGACCCTTAAAAGATGAATGCATCAATGACCCCTCTTTGCAAGTACCCTAGACCACACAAACAAGGGTTTAGGGTGAATGACTTCTGATAAAGGTGGTAGATAAAGAACGTAATAACGGCACTGACTTGTTGCAGGTTTTGGGCCTCTGAAAGCAGGTACCTATCTAGTTTGGGGTATAAGACATGTATACAATCCTGAGATTGGATAGATGGGCAAAGTCAAACACTGGAGCTAAGCCAGAGAGCCTCAACCAACCTGAAATGGGGAAGCCATAGTATGAATGTTAATCAGTGTCCCATGCTGGGCTGAAAGGACCCAGGCTTGTTTTTCCCCTTCACTCAGTCACAAAATACGGGCAGCCTCAGGAACATCACCTAGAACAAGGATATTCTAACAGAGCTGGTGACCTTGTACATTCCAGGCTAGGTGACAGGTGGAAATAGCTATGTGAGCCAGGTCAGGTTGCCAGAATGGGTGTATGAAGCAGGGTTGCAGAAGCTAAAGGTACCTGGAAAGCCTAAGAAGGATCCCAGTAGTGGCCTTGGCCATGTCCTTACACTTACTTGCCTGATTTGCTGTTGGCTCATGTGACCTCTCCCCTGGGACAACAGGATTGCCAGGTTGTTGCTGAGCTTTTTTTAATGATTTGAGGTCACCTACTGCCTCTCCTTTGAAGTCGGTATTTTTGCCCATTCTTTAGTTGATCCCATTCCATTCGTATGGCCTGACATTTCCTATTGCTGTCTTCTCACCTGTTAGCGGTGGTCCTATTCTTGCTACCACATCTGTTCACATCGTTTGCCCAGAGTTAGAATTCCTGGGCCCATCAGCATTGGATCTTCCTAATCTGTGAGGGTGGGAAAGGCTGGTAGGTGGCTTGGGTAGTTTGCATAAGTTGGGATTCTAGGCTACATGCTTCTGCCAAGAATACTCAGAGTTGAGGGGTAAAAATCAACCCAGGCGCCCCTGAGGCCTGGGAAGGCTAAGTACTGAAAGAACTATAAGCATAGTGAATCCTGTACAAAAACCTTACAACAGACTCACTGGAATCTTCCTGTGCCACAAATCAGTGATGGTTCTAGAGAACGATCATCAGTCTTCTGACCTCAGAGACATTCTGGTGCTATATGTCTAAAGTTCACAGCATAGCAGTTCTGGATTCAGATATAGTCTAGACTCACCTGCCTTGAGTGGTGGCTCTGGCGGTTCTAATACTATTTTGGACCTTTCCTGCGGTCTTAGGAGAAAAGCTGCTACCTCAGTACCACAGAACAAAGGATCTGCAGGGCTTGCATGGGGAGTCTCCAGTTTGCTTACAGCATCTCCCAGTGACACTCCACCCTGTGGATGTGTGGCCTTTGGAGACCCTCTAAATGCATGCCAAATGTGCAGGGGAGTTTATCTTCTCCAGGGAAGACTTTCCAATGGGGGAGAGGAGCTAGTGGATGAACTTACTTGACTCATTGAGGAGGATTATTGGAGAAGACTTGGCCTCCATAAAGACTTAGGAGCAGACTGAGCAATCAGCTTGCTGGGAAGTAATGGCTCACACAGGACACTTTCTCTTATTGACTATTCCTCAACTGCTGCCTCTTGTTTTTCTTTGGATTCGTCACTATCCTCAAATGTCAGCAAACATATTTTTGCCTCAGGATCTATATTCTAGGATACCTGGCCTGAAATCTATTAACTGTACTTGCCAAAATTTAGATGTTGAATCTAATCAAGAACGTGAACCTTAACTTAGGAGATAAACAACATGGGAAAGCAGGAAAACGGTGGCTAGGCAGCAGGATTAACGTGCAGCTCCCACTCGAACAGACAGCAGCATGTGGACTTGCATGTGAACTTATGCACCAAGAACTATTGCGGGAAGTATACCAGATAAGCTGAACATACCAGACAAGTCTGAAAGAAGTGGTTTGCCACTGCAGGCTCTGAGACAGCCAAAAAACTGGGAGAAAAGTGAGCAGGGGAACGTCCACACCTGAGCACACATCCTCACTGAGGAACCTGAAGGTCTAGATCATGGGAGGAGAATTTAACCTTACAGGGAGCTGAGATGAATACAGAGACCTGAACAAAACACAAGGTTAGAGGAAGTGGCAGGAAGAGGTCTGTGGGTGCACTCTATCCCCAGGGAAGTCATTGGACTTTGTCTCGCAGGGGTCTTGTCTCGCAGGGTTCCTTGGGAGGAGGGCTGCCAGTGGAATTGGGGAAGAACCACAGAGGAAGAACTGCCAGCTGAACTTTGTAACAATTTCGACTGAAGGTAAAATCTCCTCGACAGAATTCGGGGGAGGCGAGTGAGCAGGGAATATGGATGCAAGAACAGAAGCTGTGGCAGGCAGGGAGGCATGAAACATTGAAAGCCCTCCTTGCTTTTTCAGCTTGGAAACTCCTAGCCTGGGGCGAGTTTTCAGCCCTGCTCATGGCTGCCTGGAAATAAACTCAGTGCTGTTGTCAGTGGGCATGGTGGGAGTGAGGCTGGTATTTCTGGCTGTGTGGGAGCTGGGTAAGCCTGTCACTGCTGGCTTTCCCCTACTTCCCTGGCAACCTGCAGAGACAGCCATAATTCCCCTAGGAACATAACTTCTTTGATCGTAGAACCACCCCACTCCCCCAATCTTCCACAGCAGCAGCAATAGCAGTAAGCTCCATAATCGTATACCTAGAAAACTAAACATGTATCCAAAAAGCTCCTGAAACTAATGAATTAACTGAAGTTTGAGGATACAAAACTAGCATACATAAATCAGTAGTACTGCTATACACCAACAACCAAGCTGAGAAATCAAGATGTCAATCCCTTAATAGCTGCTAAAATAAAAAACTTAGGAATTTATCTAAAAAGGTGTGAAAGACCTCTACAAAGCACTGCTTAAGGAAATCATAGATAACAAAAATAGAAACACATCCCGTGCTCAGATGGGTAGAGTCAATATTGTGAAAATGACTATATTGCAAAAGCAACCTACAAATTGATTGCAATTCCTATCAAAATACCATCATTCTTCACAGAACTAGAAAAAACAATCCTAGAATTAAAGAAACTAAAAAAGCTTGCATAGCCAAAGCAAGAATAAGCAAAATGAACAAATCTGGAGACATCACATTAATCGATTTTTAAAGTAGACTATAAGGCTATAGTCACCAAAACAGAGTGGTATTGGTATAAAGTCACACAGAACAATAGAACAGAATAGAGAACCCATAAACCCCAATATTTACAGCCAACTGATCATAGACAAAACAAAGTGGGGAAAGGATACCCTATTCACAAATGGTGCTGGGAAAATAAGCAAGCCCCATGTAGAAGAATTAAGCTGGCTCCTCATCTCTCACCTTATACAAAAATCAACTCAAGATCAAGTACTTAAATCTAAGACCTAAAACCACAAGAATTCTAGAAAACATCAGAAAAAAAACCCTCCAGACATTGGTTTGGGCAAAGAGTTCATGACCAAGAACAGAAAAGCAAATGCAACAAAAATAAACAGGTGGGACTTAAACTGAAAAGCTTCTGCACAGCTAAAGAAATAATCAGCAGAGTAAATAAGACTACCCAGAGAGTGGGAGAAAATCTTAGCAATCTATATATCTTGCAAAGGACTAATACCCAGAATCTACAAGAAAGGCAAACCAGTAAGAAAAAAGAATCCCATCAAAAAGTGGGCAAAGGACATGAATAGGCAATTATCAAAAGATGATATACAAATGGCCAACAAAAACAAGAAAAATGCTCAACATCACTAATTAAAAGGGAAATGCAAATCAAAACTACAATGTGATACCACCTTTACTCCTGCATGAATAGCCATTAAAAAGGCAGGGTGCAGTGTTTCACACCTGTAATCCCAACTCTTTAGGAGGCTGAGGTGAATGGACCACCTGATACCAGGAGTTTGCGACCAGGCTGGTCAACATAGTGAAATCCCATTTCTATCAAAAATATAAAAATTAGTTGGGTGGGATGGCAGTTGCCTGTAGTCTCAGTGATTCGGGAGGCTGAGGCAGGAGAATCGCTTGAATCCAGGAGGCAGAGGTTGCAGTGAGCCAAAATCACACCACTGCACTCCAGCATGGGTGACAGGCTGAGACTGTCTCAAAAAATTAAAAACAAAAATTGGCCTGGATGTCATGAAAAGGGAACACTTCTACAATGCTGGTAGGAATGGAAACTAATACACCCACTGTGGAAAACAGTGTGGAAATTCCTTAAACTAAAAGATCTATCGTTTGATCCAGAAATCCCACTACTAGGTATCTTCCCAGAGGAAAAGTCATAATACAAAAACTTGCACATGCAAGAACCACAGCATTATTGGGCTTAGGGTGCACCCTAATTCAGATATGGCTGCAGTAACCAAAAAAGTAGATCACTATACCCATGTACCTTTAAATACCTGGAATGCCTTCCCAAGAAGGATGGGTATATACAAGACCAGACTACAAAGACTACAATAAATACCTAACTCTTCAATGCCCAGATACCAATGAATATCCCCAAACATTAAAACCATCCAAGAAAACATGACTCACTAAACAAACTAATGTACTAGGTAGCAATCCTAGAGAAACTTCAGACAGAATTCAAAATAGCTATTTTGAGAAAACCCAAAGAAATACAAGATATAAGGAATTCAGCATCCTAGCAGATAAATTTAATAAACAAGTAGACATAATGAATCAGATATTCTAGAGTTGAAAAATGGAATTGACATACTGAAAAATGTGTGGGTTTCTTAATAGCAGAAAGGATCAAACAGAAGAAGGGATTAGTGACCTTGAAGATGGGCTATTTTAAAATACAATCAGAGGAAATAAAAAGAAAGAATGAAGTATACGTATAGGGTATAGAACATAGACTCAAGGGCAAATCTAAGAGATACTGGCTTTAAAGAGGAGGTAGAGAAAGAGATAGGGGTAGAAAGTTTATTCAAAGGAATAAGAGAAACCTAGAGAAAGATGCAGTATTCAGGTACAAGAATGTTGTAGAACACCAAGCAGATTTAACCCAAACAATATTACCTCAAGGCATTTAACAATCATACGCTTAAACAGGCGTCCCCAAACTTTTTACACAGGGGGCTAGTTCATTGTCCCTCAGACCGTTGGAGGGCCGCCACATACTGTGCTCCTCTCACTGACCACCAATGAAAGAGGTGCCCCTTCCTGAAGTGCGGCAGGGTGCCGGATAAATGGCCTCAGGGGGCCGCATGTACCGTGGTCTATAGTTTGGGGATGCCTGCTCTTAAAGGTCATGGAAAGAATAAGAATCTTAAGAGCAGCAAGAATAAAAGAAACATACAATGGAGCACCATCCAATATATCTGGCAGCAGACTTTGCATGGAAACATTACATGCCAGGAAAGAATACCATGACATAAAGTGCTGAAGAAAAAAATCTTATCCTTGAGTATTATATCTGGTTGACAATATCCTTTAAACATGAAGGAGAAACACTTTTGCAGACAAAAGCTCAGGGAATTTATTAACAGAGGACTTTTTCTATAAGAAATGCTAAAGGGAGTTCTTCAATCTGAAATAAAAAGAACGATGAGCAGCAAGAAATCATCTGAAGGTACAAAACTCAGTGGTAATAAGTACACAGAAACACAACATTGCAACACTAATTGTGGTGTGCAAACTAATGCTTTAAGTAGAAAGATGAAAAGATGAGCAGATCAAATCACTGCAACTTTTCAAGACAGATAGTACAATAAAAAATAGAAACAAAAAAGCAAGGAGACAAAGGTTTTAGTAGTTTTTGTTGTTTTATGCAGTCGGTGTTGTCATCAGTTTAATGGGTTATATTTGCAAGCCTCACAGTGTTAGTCTCAAATCCGAAAATGGGTACATAAAAAGCAGAAGAAAAAATTAAAACACACCACCAAAGAAAATCAGGTGGAAAACAAGAAGGAAGACTCCAAAATGAAGCAAAACTGGTGGGAGTAAGTCCTTATCAATAACATCGAATGTAAATAGACTAAACTCTCCAATCAAAGGACAAAATGAGGTAATTACAAACCCAAGACCCGGCTGGGCACAGTGGCTCACACCTGTAATTCCAGCACTTTTGAAGGCCAAGGCGGGTGGATCACTTGAGGTCACGAGTTCGAGACCAGCCTGGCCAACATGGTGAAACTCTGTCTCTACTAAAAATAGAAAAATTAGCTGGGCATGGTGGCAGATGCCTGTAATCCTAGCTACTGGGGAGGCTGAGGCAGGAGAATCACTTGAACCCATGAGGTATAGGTTGCAATAGCCCAGTATCTCGCCATTGCACTCCAGCCTGGGTGACAGAGTGAGCCTGTCTCAAAACACACCTACACACGACTCAATGATCCATTGTCAACAAGAAACACTCTTCACCTATAAAGACATACATAGACTGAAAGTGAAGGGATAGAAAATGATATTCCATGTAAATGGAAACCAAAATAGCAGGAGTAGCTACACTTGGATTAGACAAAATAGATTTCAAGACAAGAACGAAAGAGATGATGGTCATTATATAATAAAGGGGTCAATTCAGTCAGAGGACATAAAAACTGTAAAGGTATATGCACCCACCACTGGAGCACCTAGATACAGGGTAAATGTTACTAGACCTGAAGAGAGAGACTGCAATACCATAATAGCAGGAGACTTCACCCCACTTACAGTAATGAGCAGATAATCCAGACAAAAAACCAACAACCATCAGACTTCATCCTCACTATGGACCAAATGGACCTAGTAGATATTTGCAGAACATTTTATCTAATGGCTACAGAATACATTCTTGACAGCCGATGGATCCTTCTCAGGATAGACCATACATTAAGCCACAAAAGTCTTAAAACATTTTTTTAGAAAAATGAAGTATTTTCTCTAACCACAATGGAATAAAAGTAGAAATTAATAAAGAAATTTGAGAAAGTATACAAATACATAGAAATTAAATACACTTCTGAATGACCAGTGAATGGTCATTTGGTGGAATTTGCCACCAAATTCTTTTCCAGATATATCTGATGATCTCCTCTCTCCTGGCCAAATGTACATCCTAGCCCCTTTTGCTTAGTTGGAGCCATAGGTCTAACTTTGGCCAATAAGTTGGGAGTGGAAGTGACATGTCTCTTCCATACCAGGGAACGGAAATGTTGATTCTGGATTCTTCAGAGCTTTTTTCCCTCTGGCAGCTACTGTCAACCTTTGAGGTAGTGACTGTTCTGTCAGCCTTAGGTCCTTGATTGAGTATAATACATGCTCTTTCCTGTTGAATGCAAAGGACATACAGCATATGTGAGAAATGTCATTGTAGATTTAAGCTGCTGAGATTTTGAGGGTTGGATTTCACAGCAGAATACCATAACCTATTCTGACTGATACATACACAGCAGGAGACACTGACAAGGCTGTTTCATAGTACCAGTGTTCACAGTGGCTTTGGAAACAACCCAAATACCTGTACCCTGAAGGAGGATGACCAAACTGTGGTGTATTTACTCAGTAGATTATTCAGCAGTGAAAGAAAAATAACTAGTGACTTGTAACAATACATACGAGCTTTAGCAATGTAAATAAAGTGACAGTAAATCCAAAGGATAATTTATAAATATAACACATATTTTCATATATGTAACAAGATGCCCTTTTAGAAAACTAAAAATCAAATACTTGCTAAGAATACACCTAGACATCATAAAAACATAGAAAAAAGCAGAAAAGTGACAACCACAGGATTCAGAAGTAGTTACCTGAAGTAGGAAGAGCCATGGAGTAGGATGAAAACGGCATTGTTTTTTTTTTGTTTGTTTGTTTTTGTTCTGAGACGGAGTTTTGCTCTTGTTACCCAGGCTGGAGTGCAATGGTGCGATCTCGGCTCACCGCAACCTCCACCTCCTGGGTTCAGGCAATTCTCCTGCCTCAGCCTCCTGAGTAGCTGAGATTACAAGCACACACCACCATGCCCAGCTAATTTTTTGTGTTTTTTTTTTTTTAGTAGAGACGGGGTTTCACCATGTTGACCAGGATGGTCTCGATCTCTTGACCTCGTGATCCACCCGCCTTGGCCTCCCAAAGTGCTGGGATTACAGACTTGAACCACCGCGCCCGGCCTGCATTGTTATATGTAGGCTATTACCAAGATCTTGATTTCTGAGGAGTAGCAGGGGAATAAGTACATTATAAGTTTAATATTATTAAGAATAGCTAAATGGCTGGGCGCGGTGGCTCAAGCCTGTAATCCCAGCACTTTGGGAGGCTGAGGTGGGTGGATCACGAGGTCAAGAGATCGAGACCATCCTGGTCAACTTGGTCAAACCCCGTCTGTACTAAAAATACAAAAAATTAGCTGGGCATGGTGGCGCGTGCCTGTAATCCTAGCTACTCAGGAGGCTGAGACAGGAAAATTGCCTGAACCCAGGAGGCGGAGGTTGCGGTGAGCCGAGATCGCGCCATTGCACTCCAGCCTGGGTAACAAGAGCAAAACTCCATCTCAAAAAAAAAAAAAAAAAAAAAAAAAAAAGAATAGCTAAATGGCAGTTTATTTATGATTAAACACTTCAGGAACTAGAATCATAGCTAATTCATAATCTAAATCTATGTACCTGAGATTGTTACACATAAAGAAATGGTCCTATTGTTTCTATCTTTGCAGAAAGAGGAGCATATATGTGGTTGGGTTCTCAGTCACCCAGGGTTCAGTTAAATACAAATGTGCACCTACCAGCATTAAGTTCTGAGAGTAGGATGACCTGTGACCAAAAGTATCTTTTTGGTAGGATCCAAATCAGCCAGGCTGAACATTCATATATTTCTTCTATAAGGTTCTTAGCTATATAAATGCTTAAAGGCTGAGCAGGAGGTAGTTTCTGCATGAAACAAACAAAAAAAATGAATGACGCAGCAATTACCTGTTGACCATTCTTGTTTGTTCCTATTACTCTGCCAGGCATTGCTCCAAAGACTGGGGATAGGATGGTACATGAGAGCTCTGAAGGCAGGGAAATCTGTTTGTTGGGACGTGCAGGTAAATGAAATGTATGTTATGGAAAGTAAAGGAAGGTCCCTAATCCAGACTGCTAATGAAAGGAGAGATGACCCCACTGCCACTATCGCCACAACTGATGCTTAAGGTACAAATAAGATCTATCCAGGTAAAAGGGTTGGTATCATGGGAATTATGGAAGATAAAATAAAAAGAGGAGTATCTCAGGCTGAAAGCAGTATGCATAAAAACTCACGTGAAGGTGGTTTTGGTCAACTCTAAAGTTTAGTCTGGCTGTACAGAAAACAAAGGGGAGAATGACAAGAGAAAACGTGAAGAATAAACAGATCACGAAGCACCTTGCAGGAGTTGGATTTTAGCCTGAGGCCAGAAAATCAGACTGGTGTGTATTAATCAGAGGTGTGATGTCAGATTTGCGTTTCAGAAAAGTGTCTCTGGGCTGCTGTGTGCAGGGAGATGACTTACAGGGTGGATGAGAGTTCCCACAGGAAACAGCACACTCATGGGGTTCGATCAGAGAAAGTTTAAGGAAGAGCTGCTTACAGAAGTGTAGGCAAATCAAGGCAACCGTGAAGGGACAGTATAGCACCCACGAAGTAGCGAGAGCAGAGCACCATACTTATGTTCAAATGTAAGAACCTAGGATTATGAAGAAACAAAAAACTAGGGCCCTAGACAATTTGGTCTAAGCCTGGTTTCCTGTGGTCATGTCTAAACAGTTCAGACCCGAGGGTCTCTTACAGGGGATTTTATGTGTTTGGAAGGATTCTCTCTTTCTAAGCCTGTTGGCTTAATAGTAGTGTCCTGATTTCTCAAGCAAACCTCAATCCATAATATTGGCAAGGAAGGGCCTCTTAGCTCCTTATGCACTTCACCCTCTCCCAATTTCCCAATGCTGGACTCCAATCTAGATAAGCTGTTCCTTATGGTGCAAGTAAGTGAAACCAGCCTTAAATGAATGCCCAGAGATAGGCATTCAAACAATGTTTCTCAAAGTGTAGTTCTGAGATTCTCTGCCCCGCGAGTTGGAGGAACTTGTTTAAAAGGTAGATCTGGGGACTCCATTCCATACCCATTGAATCTGAATCTCAGAGAATGATAGCTGTGCCTTTTTTTCTCAATTCCCATTTATTTTTGTCTCTTGGGACAATGTCATCTTTTCAATATAAAAAAAAGCAAGTTTAGGCTGGGCGCGGTGGCTCATGCCTATAATCCCAGCACTTTGGGAGGCCAAGGCAGGTGGATCACGAGGTCAAGAGATCGAGACCATCCTAGTCAACATGGTGAAACCCTGTCTCTACTAAAAATACAAAAATTAGCTGGGCATGGTGGTGCGTGCCTGTAATCCCAGCTACTTGGGAGTCTGAGGCAGGAGAATTGCTTGAACCCAGGAGGCGGAGGTTGCAGTGAGCTGAGATCGTGCCATTGCACTCCAGCCTGGGTAACAAGAGTGAAACTCTGTCTCAAAAAAAAAAAAAAAAAGAGCAACCCCAAATGTAGAATAGAACAACCAAGTGTAGTGGGGGGAAACCAACAGCAAAAGCAAGATATAAGACTTTGCAATGACAATGGAGGAGGGTTCCGTTCTCTGGAGATTGACTCAAATGCTGATGTGGCAGTATACACCATTCTACATAATCAGGTATGTTAATTCCTTTTCAGGCTAAGAAAAGGTGGGGATTAGGATATTTCTGGAGGCTTGGGGAAGAGCTACTCTTCCCCCCGTTGATACCTTTCTCAGATCCGAGGAAAGGAGTTCAATGAGTGAGGGAGGTAGAGCTGGAAAGGGAAAAATTCCACCTGACAGAGTGGGGCAGATTTCCCTCTAAAACTTCTAGAATGCGAAATCCTATCGCCTTCCTTATAGTGGCTTTTACCCACTACCTTATACCCTTTTCTACTTTGGGCTTAGGATGGTGGCCATCTTCTACATGGGTTTTCAGCACCTGGTTGGTTCTAAGTGGCATCTGGATGAGACCCAGCCTTTTGGAGATTTTTAAGAGGGAAATACTAACTGGAAAGAATGGGCACCAGAAGGCAGAAACCTAGGCGTCCCAGACCAGAAAGAGAAGAGACATTCAACAAACAAGCATTTATCGAGTGCCTACTATGTGCCAGGCACTGTTCTAGCCCCCAGAAGAAGAAAACAAACAAGATATAGGCAGCAAACACAAAATTTTGAGGGCCAGGAAAGGGGCAGTTGAGCAAGACGGCCAAGGGAACTGAGAATCCTGAGGTGACGGGGGCTGTGCCTTAGGCTCCCTCTTCCGTGGTGCATCCTACTACTGCTGATACTTAGAGACGAGGTCGTTCATGTTGCTCTCAGCCTCCATCTCCGTCTCATCCATGCTCTCACTTACATAGCAGTGCAGACATGTCTTCTATCTGCAACATGGCAGTGAGCTGCTCCAAGATGCCTTTGAAGAGCTCCCGGATGGCCACTCTGTTGCCGATGAAGGTGACAGCCATCTTAAGGCTACAAGGTAGGATGTTACAAATTGCTGTATTTATGTTGTGTGGAATCCATTCCACAAAGTAGCTGCTGTTACTGTTATGCATAGCTAACCATTTGTTCATTGACCTCTATGGACATCCGACAGTGAGATATTGGCCATGGTGGGAGTCGCAATCGATCATCCTGTTTTTTACATGGACGATATGCTGGGTGAGCTGTGGCACTATGAGAGCTCGATACTGCTGGCTTCTGCTGCTGGTGAGAGGAGCAAACCCAGGCATAAAGAAATGGAGATGTGGGAAGGGGACCATGTTTACCGCCATGGTGGCTGAGACCAGGAGGTACAGATGCCCATAGGTTGGTGTCGTCAGCTTCAGAGTGTGGAAGCAGATGTAGAGGGCCTCATTGTTGACGCAAAAGGTCTCATCAGTGTTCTCTACCAACTGAAGGATGGAGAGGGTGGCATCACAGGGCTCAACCATCGTGTCAGACACTTTGGGTGAAGGCATCGCACTGAAGGTTTTGGTGACGTGATCAGGGTACTCTTTACTCTTACTGAGGAAAAAAGTACTCGTTCCAGAGCCTGCGCCCCCACCCAGTGAGTGGGTCAGCTGGAAGCCTGCAGGCAGTCACAACTCTGCTCCTTCCATACCACATGAGGACAGCCTCAACCACCTCAGCCCTTTCTGGGTACTGCCATTTGGCCAGCTGTTGCCTGCTCCACAATGACCAAAAACAAAGTTGCCTGCTCTATTAAAGATGTGGCAAAAAGGACCTGAGCACACACAGTCCATGGTCCCAGGTTCTGGATCACCAGGATGGCACGAGGAACATATTTGCCACATGCGGTTCTTTGTAATACCTGGAAATGTGATCCACTACCGAGTGTGGAAGCAGATGTCGCAGGGAGCCTTATAGTCGAAACAAAAGGTCTCATCAGTGTTCTCTACCAACTGAAGGATGGAGAGGGTGGCATTGCAGTGCTCAACCATGGTGTCAGACACGTTGGGTGAAGGCACCACACTGAAGGTGTTCGTGATGCAATCAAGGTACTCTGCTTTCATGTTACCCAGGAGAGTACTCCAGAGCCTCGCCCCACCGCCCAAGGAGTGGGTCAGCTGGAAGCCTGCAGGCAGTAACAGCTCTCTGCCTCCCTCCACACATCATGAGGATAGAATTTGGAAAATGTGGTTCCACTGTACCCATGGTAGGTGCCAGTGGGTTTGATGCCACATTCATCACTAATTATTCCCACAACTTGGCACTGATCTGGTTGCCACAGTGACCGGCCTCGATGTGCACGATTTCCCTCATGGTTAAAATTCAGTTTTTTTGCTCGCCTCAATCTATGTACAGCGCAAGAAAATACGTAACTTTTTTCTCTGCTGGTTGCAGGCTGGAATGCACCCCAGAGGCTGGAGCAGCGACGTGCAAACGCGGTGGCAGGAAGGTTCTGAGAGAAAGCAGTTGTACCCTTAAGAAGCAACCTAGATGATTCTAATACATAACCTAGACTTGTGGTTCTCAAATTTCGGTACGTATTCAAATCACCTGGGGATCTCCTTAAACTCCCAATCCGATCGAGACCATCCTGGTCAACACGGTGAAACCCCGTCTCTACTAAAAATACAAAAAAATTAGCGGGGCATGGTGGCGCATGCCTGTAGTCCCAGCTACTCAGGAGGCTGAGGCAGGAGAATTGCCTGAACCCAGGAGGCCAAGGTTGCGGTGAGCCCAGATCTCGCCATTGCACTGCAGCCTGGGTAACAAGAGCGAAACTCCGTCTCAAAAAAAAAAAAAAACAAAACCAAAAAACTCCCAATCCACGGGCCACACTCAAGGCCAGTTAAAACACCTTAATGTCCAGGTCTCCTGGATTCTGGCTTAAGACTCCCCAGTGATTTCAGTATTCAGCCAACTTTAAGAACCAGTGACCTGGCCTATAGCTAGTAAAGATAAAGCGGTTACACGATTGACTGAGAACGTGGGTTTTCTCAAACTTTAAATAATTTTTCAAAACACACCCTTCTTTCCTCTTGGACTTAGAAATCTTATATAAGACTTTCAATTTACAGGTGAGTAAGCTGAGTCCTAAAAGGAAAAATTAAAGTGGGCAAACAGCCAATTAAAATGAGATATGTTTTCATTCAATACAATAAATGTTCTTAAACATTCAGTATTGGCACTAAACTTTTAAGTCATTGGCAGATGGAAAATCAGATTTGTTACCCTAACATTTCAAGCATCTCCATTGTACAATTTTAAGAAGATTTTTAGGTTGGGCATGGTCTTATTACTGTAAAGTTTGTTCTCTGAAGATAACCACCGAGTTAAAAATGAGGAAACTGAGGCCAGCACAAGAAAATTAGATGCCAATTCCAACTTATTTACCTACCCGGTAAGATCCTACCGTCCAGGGTAGAAGGGCCAGGAACATCGCTGCTTCCTCTCAGGAGTGGGGTTTTATAGGGAGTGAAGGCGTTTGATTGGATCTGGAGAGACAGGATGTGGACAGCAGGAGCTGCTATTGGTAGGGAGGTGGGACTTCCTGTGAGCCGGCTAAGTGCTGAGTGCAGAGGGGATTTCCAAGGGTGGGGTTAGGTGCTGAGTGCAAAGGGGATTTCCAAGGTGGAGCTAGATGATTGGCATCCTAGTGCAGAGGGGATTTCCAAGGTGGGGCTAGATGATTGACATATTCTAATTTTCAAGCCGGGAGGGAGATGGGCTCATCCGAACTCCCAGCAAGGCAACCAGCCTTACAATTACCACGTGTGGCAGTGCATGCCTTCAATTCCAACCTCCTTGGAGGCTGAGGCAGAAGAATCTCTTGAAGGCAGGAGGCAGAGATTGCAGTGAGCTGAGAATGCACCACTGCACTCCAGCCTGGGTGACAGTACAAGATTGTCTCAAAAAATAAGAGTATTTTGTATGACCTTACTCTGTATATTTTTCTCTTAATTTATAAAATTTCCATGTCCCAAATAATCTGCTTAAACATTAACAGCAGAACTTCTGGCAAAAATTTGAAAAAACATACAATCTAAAAATAAGAGTTAAGTCCTCCAAACCACATATTTAAAAAAGCCACAGGCTTTTAATGAACAAAATAAACACATTAAAAAACTGTATAGATGTAGTACAAGGCTGAAGTATTTTGACATTTATCTCAACATTTGCAAATATATAAAAACATTCCTTCTTTTTAACATAGTATTGGAAGTCCTGGCCAGGGCAATTGGGCAAGATAAAGAAAAGGTATCCAGATATGGGAAGAGAGGATCCAGAAGCCAGCAAGGGGAGACATTGAAAGGACACTCCCTGTCTTCTGCTCCACTCTGGATCATACAGAAAGGGAGAAGGCTAGGAGGATGCCTTTATTCTCATTTCTTTTTCTAAATGGATAATAAATTATCTCCAGCTTGCACCCCTCTGCAGTGCACTCTGAAACACTGGAGTTTCCTTAACCTCAAAACCTTAAAAAAGCAACTCATTTTCTTTTACACAAGGGAATGACATTTTTACTAAACCTTTGCAAGCATTGTAAGATCAACTCAGCTCTTTCAGTGATTGTATCAGGCAGGTTCAGAAAAAATAGTTTCTCAAAATTAAAAAAAGCAACTTTCAGGGGAAACATCTGAGGATCCCCCTTAGTTAAGGCCCTCTCAAGTTCCCTTCTCTTTACAAAACCTTGGGCAAATAAAGGAAAACTTAGGCTAATTTCCAAAAAACTAATAGGTATATAGAAACTTTCCAAAGTTTAATTCAGGTGTTTAACCTCACATGGAGGAATGTTATGCTGCTCCTAAATCAAACTCTCACTGCAGCTAAAAAAGCTAATAGTTCGGCAAGCAGCAGATAATGTTGGAGATGAGCAATGTATCTCCTATAATGCACCAAAAGGCAATAAAGCAGATAGGGAAAGTGAAGAAATAGCAAAAACACCATTCCCAATAGGGAGGGAAGCGGTTCTGGTAAACAAGCCTAACTGGAAACTCAATAGCACAGGAGATAAATGGAAAGAAAGCACTTTTAAATATACATTTTTAGAAGGCCTATGGAACACCAGGGCCAAACCTCTCAAGTACTCTAAACTCTCTGTAATGAACTAAAAGCCGGATAAGAATCCTGTAGCCTTTCTGGAAAGGTTAAGAGAGGCACTAATAAAGTACACCTCCTTATCCCCTAATTCAGTTGAGGAGCAGGTTATCCTGAAGGAAATTGTATTACACAGGCAGCTCCTGATATTAGAAGGAAACTATAAAAGTAATCTATGGGACCAGAGAGCATCCTAGAGACCACCTAGAAGGTGGCCACTTTGGTCTTTTGTAACAGGGACCAGGAGGAGGCTGAAAGGAAAGCAAGCACAGGAGAAGGACAGAGGCTCTAGCAGCAGTTTTGCAGGCTTATAACGTCCAGAATCCCCAGGTTGCATCCACTAGTTCCTATTGGTGTGGCAGGCCAGTGTATTTTAAGAAAGAATGATGAGCCGGGCGCGGTGGCTCAAGCCTGTAATCCCAGCACTTTGGGAGGCCGAGGCGGGTGGATCACGAGGTCAAGAGATCGAGACCATCCTGGTCAACATGGTGAAACCCCGTCTCTACTAAAAATACAAAAAATTAGCTGGGCATGGTGGCGCGTGCCTGTAATCCCAGCTACTCAGGAGGCTGAGGCAGGAGAATCACCTGAACCCAGGAGGCGGAGGTTGTGGTGAGCCGAGATCGCGCCATTGCACTCCAGCCTGGGTAACAAGAGCGAAACTCCGTTTCAAAAAAAAAAAAAAAAGAAAAAGAAAAAAGAATGATCAGGTAAAAAGGTGAAGAAACTGACCTTGTGGCAAAAAAAGACTGGAACCGGGACTGTTTCCAGAGGTGGTCCATGGGTTCAGGACTAGTCTCATTGATAGTCCATCAGGAATGATGGGTCCTGGGGTGCCAAACTTGGCTCCAGTGGCTCAAACTGCCATTATAGCAAGGAGCCCCCAGATGATTCTTAAAATTAAAGGAAGAAAAGAAAACCTCCTTCTAAACACTAGAGCGAGTCACTCTCATTTCTTCTCTATAATCCAAGCCTCCCCTCTTCCCATAGCACAGTCATAAGGGGCATCTCAGGAAAAACTAATTCAATATTTTTTTCAACTTAGTTTTAGTTAGGAGGATCTATTTACACATGCTTCCAAGCCATTGTCATTACAGCTCTACTAGTCAAAAAAGCCTCCAGGTTAACCCTAGGAAATAATTCCAATGTTTACAGCCCACATAATGTGGCAAGATCACTCACTGTCCTCTTAGCTAGCAAACAGCTGGTAAAGCAAGAAGTACATAAAGCAGGATAAGCAATAGTCACTCTGCCAAACACAAGCGCTCAATTAGCTGAGCTAATAGCTTTCACAAGAGCACTTAAGAAAGAGAAGGGTAGCTAACATAAATACAGACTCCAAGTATGCTTTCCTGGTTTTCCACGTTCATGCTGCCATTTAAAAGAAGAGATATTTCTTACCACTAATGAATCTCCTATAAAATATCACCTGGAAATTAGCAGATTATTATCCTCACTTTTTCTTCCACAAAGAGCCGGAATGCGTTTTAAGGAACATCAAAGTAGTAACAATAAGATAGCTGAAGGGAATAGCTAATCAGGCGGCTAAGTCAAAGATATGAAAGTGTCAAGGCATTAACACATTTCAAGCCCCTTCTAATCTAAAAAGGCTCCATAAAAGAAATTAAACCTCAGTACTTCCCTGCAAAAATAGATTGGGCCACTTCTCATGGTCATATGTTTCAGCCCTCAGGATGGCTACAGTCAGGATGGCAAACTGTATTTATCAGCCTGCTGCCAATAAAGGTTTCACCAGTAAAATCTTTCACCAGTATTTTCACCTGGGAAAGGATAAAACTTGTCAATGTGCTCAGACATTGTTTTCAGGCAGATATCCTCTACATTAAGCATGCAACCTCTCTAGCTCACTTCCAACAAGAAGTACAATTAGCAAAAGACTAACCCTCCAAAATAAAATCACCTTCATTTAACTCAGGAAATTTAGTATTAGTAAAAACTCTTCTCTCTCTTTCCCAAAGCCAAGTTGGGAAGGGCCCTACACTGTTCTTCATTCAACCTTCTCAGCAGTGAAAGTTACGGGAATCAATGCCTGGATACAATCACACTCGAGTCAAAGCCTAAAGAGCTGAGGGAGCAACTCCTGACAACCCAGAGGAACAACTGAATATCAGCGTGGAGAAATAGAAAATCTTAAGCTAAAAATCAAAAAAGATAAATGAGGGCTACGCATCTTACCCAGTTCCACCTTTACCTCAAGAAATATTTTTTGTCATTTCTGCCCTTTTATCTCAAAACTTGCCACCAAATAATAGAATTTATTTTTAGGGTGTATTTTCAGGGAAACTTTAATCGTACACAGTATTGCATTTGTAGCTTGGTAAATCCCTAAAAGGAAATGGTATATCTTGGCAAGCAAAGTTTTAAACATTTTTTACTATGCCACTCTTGTGGAAATTGTGATAGTCACGATACTATTTGCAATAGAACTAAACACTGTGGCACCCAAATGTGGAATTCTGGTTGTAAAATTCTAATTGCTGTAATAGTTTGCCCAACTATCATCCTTATAACAGGATTACTTGTTGCAGGAAAAATTTAGTTAAGGTTGTTTTGCTTACAGCAGGAGTGATAGTTACGGATAAGAAGTAAGCATAAGAGGGCCGGGTGTGGTGGCTCACGCCTGTAATCCACTTTGGAGGCCAAGGCGGGCGGATCACCTGAGGTCAAGAGTTCAAGACCGGCCCGACCAACGCGGTGAAACCCCGTCTTTAAAAGAAAAAAAAAAAAAAAAAAAAAAAAGAAGTAAGTCTAAAAGTTTTACTATCATTAAGTTTAATGGGACTTTTTACTAAAGGTTGGTAATATAATGCACTCTAAGCTATAAAAAGAAGCTTATAAAGAAATACATTTTATATAAAAAAAGGATTTTGCATGAAATACTTTTCCTAAAAGGAAATGACTGGCGGTTTAAAGGAGGAATGTTCAGGACAAGTCGGAAAGTTTGTTGTAAGAGGGTCTGTGAAAGTCATGAAAAATTTAATAATTAAAGAAAAGGACTTGTCAAAATTACTCTAAAGTTATTTTAGCCACCCAATAGCGTATTTCTGCCAATAATATTGCAAGTTATAAAAATGGCCTAAGTCTAAAGTTACTCTCTAATGGCAAGTTAAGGGGGGAATGTATGATTGTCTCTGGAAAAAGCTAATTTTTATATTAACTTTTCTGGTAATGTACAGCGACATCTAGTGAAGACAAGTCGGTATTGCAATCCACTGGTGTAACAGGTATCAAACTCGGTTATGGTCTAAGACCCCTATAAACGGTGATAATCTTAATGCTCCTATTCTAATCCTATATTTTAAACCTTTTTATA